GAGAAAGAAGATGGTGCATGGAGGAGGACACTTGTGGGGATGAGCACTGAGTGTTATGTGGAAACTAATTTGACAATAAACTATTTGTAAAAAAAAAAAAAAAAAAAAGAGAGAGAGAGAGAGAGAGAAAGAAGATGGAAAGAAGAATGTGTCCCATACGGTACCACCAGTTTGATGACTTTAATAAGGTGGTACTATTTACTAAAATGGGAAATACTGGAAAATGAGCAGGTCTGTGAGGCAAAAGAAGGGGTATGGTAGGTAAGGTTTTGGCATGGGGTATAAGTATTGAGGAGAGTGGGTGGCAAGGAGAGTAAGGAAAATATTAGCTTCATTTTGAAAACTTTGAGCTTAAGATGTCTGATGAATATTCAGGTGGCTACATATCGAAGAGCTGGTTGCATATATACCTGGAGATCAGAAGAAAAATCTGGAAATACATATTCTTAAATCTGCATGCTTATGGTAGTTGAAAGTATATGTCCCTTTTAATTGGCTCCTTTAATTTCTCCTCTCATGCCCATGCCCCAAGGAGATCCGCCTAAAACGTAAGGCCACCATTACCAGAATTACTAAACAGTACTTAATCCTCTTCCTCATACCTCCTTATTGAGCCTGGGCCTCAGTGGCACCATCTGATATATCCCTCAGAAGACTGGGCAAAATTCTGTGCATCCCACACAGTTGTTTGCAGGTTCTACTGATACCCAGCACTCTGAACTTCTAATGGCACAAGGGTGCCCTCCAGTGTTCAGCATGATGCTTTAAGGGGCAAAGCAAGAACAGAATTAGGAACCTTTGCCTTCAACCAGCACCACAGCCCTGTCCCTCTTGCTTTTGAGGAAATTCACTAACAACATGGAACCCCAGATTAGGAGGGAATCTACATACTTCAGGTTCTGGCAGGATATGAGGAGAGTTGAGCTTGCAATATATGTCTTCAGTAGCCCCACCAGTTAGGAGATAACCTGTAATGCCATTTGTTGAGTGGAAAGAATAAGCCCTGCATTCTGGGTTCTCAGCAAATCTCAGGGGGAAACAAGATGGATTGGTCAGAGTCCTATTATTTTTTTCAGAAATGACAAGCCTCAAAGCATGAATACAGATGTGTCTGCAAAAGTAGAGAAATAAATGAAGCATGCCACAGGCCTCCTGGACATGCTAGCCTCTGAATATGTACCAAAGCAAGGCTAATCACTTTGTTCACCAATTCCAATGCCACTGGAAACCCGTTGCTATACTAAACCAGGGTGGAAGATTCACCTCTTACCCTTACCTACAAAAGGCAGTGAGGAGGACATTTTATAACAGAATTCTGGGTGGTATGCCATGGCCTTTACACTGTAACCAGGTACCAAGGTCATCTTAGTTTAAACGGAACTCTCTTAGTTCCATTTATCCCATGTTGGGAGAGAAAAAGATAATTATATTGACATGCTCATGAGAAAACATGGAAAAAATAGTATTATCAGTGTGTTACTGACCATATCAACTTCCTAGTCTATTACTTTTACAGAGTAAGATCCAAGTACCTCACTATATCCTAAGGAAATCTATGCTCTTTATCTTAATACTGCACTCTGCCTTAAGTTCCAGCTATGCCTACTATGGCCCTACACCATCTGTCTCTTCATTACCTGGAATTTCAGACAAATACGCCATTTACCAGAAGGCATTTTCAGAATAGAAGGCAAAACTACATGGGAATATGATTAATCTGGGATCCGGGGCCCATGGGTTACATTAGGGACTTGAATTGTATCCCTAAGCTTGAGGCCAAGTCTTCCAATACCAGAGTGCTTACTTTGTATGAGGGGGCTGGCACAATGCTAGGTATATCACATTCCAGGAATCCTTTGATTTTACTAGACAACCCAAATCACCAGGTTTGAGGCCAGATCATCTGACCTACCAAGCATGTCCTGGCACATCATCCAAACTGATACCTTTAGGGGAATTCATCTGCAGCTATAATTTTTAAAAAATGATCAGGGCTCCTGAGTGCCTCAGTCAGTTAAGCATCTGACTCCTGATTTTGGCTCAGGTCATGATCTCATGATTCGTGAGCTCGAGCCCTGCATCAGGCTCTGTGCTAACAGTGCAGGGTCTGCTTGAGATTATTTCCTTCTCTCTCTATTCCTCTCCTGCTCTCTCTCTCTCAAATAAATAAATCAACTTAAAAAAAGTGATCTCACAGAGGAAGTCCATGCTAGTGCTGGACTAAAAGTCGGGTACACCCAAAAACAAAAATGAAAAGAACCGACTAATAGGCTTCCCCCTATTTAGAGTGTCCGCCCTCAAATACATGCCTATCCAAAGACACTTTTATGTCCAGTGATTTTTCAAGATGTTGACTAAAGTTCACATAGGCTTTTGGGGCATCCATATCTATACAATATCCTCCAATATAATAACATCTGGGAGACCTGTGGCCAAAACAAGAAATACCTTTGGGAAGTCAAGGATATAATATACTGCTCATAGCTCCCGTGTCTCTAAGATTCCACAACATTAAAATTTATCATTAACTTGCACCCTTTCCACTGGCATAACTTCAATCTGGTGATTATGGAATTCCTCACTAAAAATTCCTCACACTTTATCCTTATTCTGGTTCCTAATTGTTTCGCATCCATAATAATTTAAATTATTCATCTATGTAGCTTCCAGCATCTTTGAAGTTTCTAACATCAAGTTTGAAGAGTACCATTGAAAGCCCTTCATAATGGTATCCATTATTAATGCCTAAATGGAACACAACCAAGTTTTGAGGAATACTTCTGACATTCTATCTATGGACAACTCAATACTTCCACCTACTCAGAAGAGTTGGACTGCAACATAAAACATTCTTTTACATGAAATACTGCTTACAAAGCAGCTATGTTTTCTACCCCCAGGACAGCTAATACCTGTTAACTGGTCAATACTATGAGAACTACAAGATCTTCACAAGGGCTTGAAGCCAGACTGGTATATACTGAGGGAGGATATTCATATGAAAAAAATTTGTAACTGCTTATAGGCAAGTATCTACCATCCACACTGAAGGGTGATTAGCTGGGACTTTTTGAAGTGATAGAAAGTCAACTACCTTGCTCTTTTGACGTCAACTGACCTCTTCATTTGCATACATTTTACTTTCCACCATTCTCTAGAATGTCTATTCACTGGGAACCTAGGCTCATTGCCCAACCCCAAGCAGACCCAACAAACGAGCAAGGAAAATCAGAATACATCACAGGGAAAGGGATAGAATTTTGGCAGGAAAACTACCAAACCAATTGAGAAAACTACGGCCCACAAAAGCAGCCATAGAATCATACTTTCATAAAAATCTTCCAGAAGGCACTGTTTTCCATAGGTCAGATTTCTGACTTGCCTTTCCCAAAGAAAAAGGTAACAAAGTAGTATAGTAATGTCAAAATATTTGACTGCTACCTACCTACCACGTCTCTGACTTCATCAAAGAGCTCTGTGGAAAAATAAAAAGACACAGTTAGCTTCCGAATTCTAGTTTAAATAACCTTCTCTTGCATTAGCTGTCTTTGGTACCTGAGGCTCTTGTTTTTTCATTTTGGTTACAACTACCAGAAGTTAAGATATATAACTCTAGGGCACATTCTTTCCTGAACAAGTTTAGAACTGTCCCTGCCAATATTTTTGTTTTTAATTCATCATCTTTGGGGTGCTTTCAACAGGATCAAACCAACTCTAGGTTGACACATTTTTTCCCTTATTGCATTCAGTAAGTTTTCTGTCTATGTTTTCTCTTTAAGATGACTCTGCATATCTGCTATAATTCCATTATTTGCTGATTTTCAAGCTATAATATCAAGGTCAGTTTCCCAACTGATGCTACAAGGAGCCCTACAATCGCACTTTTGTTTTTTGTCTACAGGCACTTCCTAAAGTGCAGCACATGTAGAGGGAAGCCAAGCAGAATGAAACACTACCAGTTAGTTGAGAAGACAGAGACTGTATTTTACAGAAGCTGCGGCATTTGGAATTTTCAAAGCAGAGTATGAGAGAGGGGAAACTATGCAGAAAAAGCACACCAGGAATCTGCTAAGGGCTCCCTGTGACTACTCTGTTGAATACTAAGATGTGCGTGCATCCGGTAAAATGCCAAAAGGCAAATAACAGTTAATAGAAAGATCGCAGTTGAATAATTTCTAGTGCTCATATGCAGGGATGGAACACATTTGACTCCCATCCAGCTAAAGTGGATAAATGTTACTGAAACCTGGAGCACTCACTAGATTTCAGAAGAATTAGCTTCCTGTGGCTGCTATAACAAATTACTACAAACCTGATGGCTTAAAATACTAGAAATATACTCTTTTGCAGTTCTGGAAGCCAGTAGCACAAAATCAATGTGCCGTCAGGGCTGCACTCCACCCAGAGGTTTTATAGAATGCGTTCCTTTTCTAGCTTCTCGTGACTAATGGATGACTTGGCATTCCTTAGCTTGTGGCTGCATCACTCCAATCTCTGCCTGCATCTTCACATCACCTTCTCCTGTGTGTGTGTGTGTGTGTGTGTGTGTGTGTGTGTGTGTCAACTTCCTCTGCCTTGCTCTTATAAGGATACATGTGATTGCATTTAGAATCTACCCAGATAAGTCAAAATAAGTTCCTCTTTTCAATATCCAAACTTAAGCATATATTTTACACATATAGTAACATTCACTCTTTTACCATAAAAGGTAATATTGATGGATTCTGGGGATCTAGAAATGACTATATCTTTGAAGGAGGGGGCATTTTTCAGCCTATAACACCTTAACAGTAAGGCTAAAATAAACCTAAAGCAAGGCTCATATTTGATTCATCCTAACAAAGCTTGAAAAAGACCTTGAGAGTGACATCTGCAAGGTGGCAGAGTAGGAAGCCCAGGAACATCATTCCTCTGACAAATATACCCATTTAGCAGCAACTCATGGGGAAATTTTATTTGTAGGAAATCCAGAAACAAAGTGAAAGATTCCTGCCCCCAGCCCTGCCTCCGCGGCGATGGCGGCGCGGCGCACGCGGCCGGTGCGGGTGCTGGTGGACATGGATGGCGTGCTGGCCGACTTCGAGGCCGGCCTCCTGCGGGGATTCCGCCGCCACTTCCCCGGGGAGCCGCACGTGGCACTGGAAGAGCACCACGGCTTCCTCGCCCGCGAGCAGTACCGAGCCCTGCGGCCAGACCTGGCGGTAGGCAGGGAAAGGGCGGGAATGCAGCGCCGGGTGTCTAAGCGGGCAGGGAGCCCCGTACCCACAGTGTCCCCGGGAGCGGGGAGGCCCGACCCCACCGGATACCCGGTAGCAAGGGCCCAGACCCCATCGGATGCAAGGGAGCCCAAGCCCCGACCCCACCACACCCAGAAATGGGAGCCCTCCTCTTGGGCAAGACTGTCTTCCCCCTTTGTTTAACAAAACCTTTACTTTAGAATCCATTGTTCACCCTGGGCACAAAAGTCCGTTGGAGTGCTTCCCCTTCCCCTGAGCAAACTCCTTTCCCTGTGGCTCTGATTTGGGGACCAAAGCCCCCCAGGAATCTTTGAGAATATTCACTGGGGCTAGATCTGCTGGAGGCAGAAGCTGGGACAAGAACATGGGATCTTTCAGCACAAAGTGGCCAGTGTGTATGAAGCCCCAGGCTTTTTCCTAGACTTGGAGCCTATCCCAGGAGCCTTGGAAGCCCTGCAGGAGATGAACAACATGCAGGAGTGAGGAAGGGCAAAGAGGGGAGGGGCGGTGGAGAAGAGGGAGGGCACCACCCTAACCCTAACCTGTGCCCCTTTGTGCAGCACCGAGGTCTTCATCTGCACCAGCCCTCTGACGAAGTAAGAACACTGTGTGGGTGAGAAGGTGCGGCTGCCCCAGCACCTGAGAGCAGACTGCTTCCTCTGTCCTGAGATTTAAAGTAACCCAGCAGCGGGGCACCTGGGTGGCTCAGCCAGTTAAGGGTCAGGCTCTGTGCTGATGGCGCTGAGCCTGCTTGGGATTCTCTCTCTCCCCCTCTCTGCTTCTCCCCTGCTCTCTTGCTTGTGCTCTCTCTCTCAAAATAAATGCTTAATTTTTTTTTTAAACATAAACCAGCAGAAACACAGGAAGTGGGGGGTAGGGGAAGGGGAGCAGCATCTCAAGGGCAGGAGACCCCACTCCCACCTGCTTCCTGGCCCTGCTGACAGACCCGTGCCCCCGTCCACAGTACCGCTGGGTGGAGAACCACCTGGGGCCGCAGTTTGTGGAGCGCATCATCCTGACAAAGGACAAGACAGTGGTCTTGGGGGACCTGCTCATTGACGACAAGGACACCATTCGAGGTTAGACCTGTTTTCCTGGCAACCTTCCAGGCATTTGGCCTGCTGGGATTAGGGAGGGAGTAAAAATAGCCAGATTACAGACTGCATCTCCCTGCCTTTCTCCCGCTTCCTGTCCCAGGCCAAGAGGAGACCCCAAGCTGGGAGCACATATTGTTCACTTGCTGCCACAACCAGCACCTCACCCTGCCCCCCACAAAGAGACGACTGCTGTCCTGGAGTGACAACTGGAGGGAGATCATAGACAGCAAGCGGGGGGCGGGACGGTGGGTAGTAGCTGAAGGAAGGGAAGGCAGGCCAGCAGGGAACCCCAGCAGAGCTGGAGACAGGGCAGCGTCATGGTGGTGGCCACCAGCACCGTGGAGCAGGGAGACACAAAAACCTCGGTTCTCACAAGCCAGCCACCTGGAACCCCACAAGATGGCTGGCAAGGAAACACGGTGGGAAAACTACTCAGGAACCTTTTTAATAAAACACTTTGGCTCACCAAAAACAAAAACAAAACAAAACAAAACAAAACAAAAAACCAAAGTGAAAGTTTCCTGTACTTTGAGTGACTGCGAAACCAGACTCATCGAAGCTGGTGGGAGGATTCGAGATGCCTCAGCCCGGTCCTTGCCTCCAGTGCAATCCCATATGAACAAAAAGAAACCCTCAGACTCCTGGATTTTCTGGGGGAAGGGAAAGAGATGGTTTGCACATCCCACACCCCAACTTTCCTGAGGAGCCTCCCCAGAGGATTGACTTCTGCCCTTCCTGCCTTGGAGCTTGAATGGGTCCATCACAGTCTACTAGGCTAGGGGAGAACAGGGACAGCAGCTTAGGTTGGTTAATGCCATATCTTTCCCTTCTGGCTCAGCACACAGGAACAGGAAGCAAAAATTTTACTAATGGGTAGCTAGGGGTAATAATGAGTGGAGCAGTTCCAATTTCCACCTCTTGACTCCTGGGCCCATGACTCATGACAATAAGTGAAATAGCACCATACATACAGGACATTGATTCAGAGCATAGTTAGTCTTCTGTGAAACCTTGCCCCAGTCCTGCAAGGTATGGTATTGCCACCTAGCTGGCAGTGTAATTGAGTCTTCGAAGGGCCATTTGACCATTCTATTAGGCTAGCTGCTTCATGATGATGAGGAACATGATAAGGCTAGTGAAATCCATGAGCAGGGCCATTACCACATTTCTTTTGATGTGAAGTGAGTTCCTGTATCAGAAGCAATGATGTGTGGAATACCATTATGGCATGTAAGTAATTCTGTAAGTCCATGAATGGTAGTTTGGCAGAAGAATGTCATAGAGAAGGCAAACCTTATCTAGAGTGTCTCTTCCAGTAAGGACAAAACACTGCCTTTTTCATGATCAATTTGACATCAAATAGCTAATGAACAAATGGATATCAAATTTTTAATTTTAAAATATAATATCGTTTCTGATTGCTAAAAAAGTGAAAGACTTAGATGTAAACCAACAACATGTAAAGAAATTGTATGCTGGAAACTATACAAGAAAGGAAATAAAAAAACAATCTAAATACATGGAGAGATACAGCATGCTTATGAATTGAAAGACTCAAAAGAATAAAAGTGTCAATCCTCTCCAAATTGATATACGTATGTTACATAATTCTTACCAAAACCCAAACAAGGTCTATTGTAGCCCGTATATGTCTATTACACATAGATATATAAACAATATACATACAAAAATACCTTGCCTAGGTTTTGGTAGGAATTATTGTAAAATTTATATGAAAAGTCAAAGGAACTAGAATAGCTTATAAACAATTCTGAAAAAGTACAAAGTGGGAGGAATCAATCTGTTCAATTTCAAGATTTATTATATAAATACAGTAATAATGATTGTGTGATATTGGCAGAGTGATAGACACATAGATTGATGAAGCAAGATAGAGAACCCAGAAGTGGATATACACAAATATGCCCATCTGATTTTTGCAAAAGTGAAAAAGCAATTCACTAGAAGAAAGATAGCATTTTCAAAATAAATAGTACTAGAATAATGGGAAATCTAAAGGGAAAAAAGTAAACCTCAACCAAAGATTCACACTTTATACAAAAGCTAACTCATTCTTTTGAGCTAATAAATGCTTGTTATCACTCTAAAAAAATTACTCAATTTTCTATCTGAAACCAAAAGCACAGACAACAAAAGCAAAAATAAATAAAATTGGACTACACCAACTTAAAATCTGCATGGCAAAGAAAATAATCAACAAAATGAAAAGGCAACCTACAGAATGGAAGAAAATATTTGCAAACCATATATATGACTAGTAGTTAATACCATAATATAGATGTAATTCTTACAACCCAATAATAAAACCATAATATAGATGTAATTCTTACAACTCAGTAATAAAACCCACAAGCAACCCAATTCAAAAATGGGCACAGAACCCTTGTAGACTTGGGGGAATGAAAACTGGTATAGTCACTATGGCAAACATTATGGAGGTCCTTCAAGAAATTGACAATTGAATTACCATCTAATACAACAATTCCACTTCTGAATGCAGTAAAGCCTTGGATTGTGAGTAACTTGTTCTGTGAGTGTTCTGCAAGATGAGCAAATATTTCTAATAAAATTTAACTTGATAAATGAGCAATGTCTTGCAATACCAGTAGTACATGACTTCAAATGTCACATGATCACAACTTAGCCAATGTGTCTTCTCTCTCTCCCTCTCGCTGAAGGACTGTGAGTGATTATCTCCCATGCTTACATGCTCAGTCTCAGGCTGTGGTGTTTGGCAGAAATCAGTGATTTTTCAGAGTGCTGGAAGGTGCCCACGACTGGCACTAGCGTGTTTTTTTGTCACTTCAAAGCATTTATGGATAGTTCTTTGCTTCCTTAAAAGAGTAAGCTTAGGAATGCTTTGCTTCATTCTGTCAGACTGCCTGCAGATATAGACCCTTTCCTCTGCTGCCTTATTGCCAGTTACACTAAATACAGTATATGACAAGAGTTTATTAATACTGTACTGCAGTCAACATCTATTAGTGATAGTGAAAGTCATCCAACACAATAACCCTCCTCTCTTGTTTGCCTCACACCAGCCACGAAGGTTTTCGAAGGTATGTGCAAGTTAATATATTTTTCTTTATATTTTGTATTTTATTATTCTGTATTATGTTACAGTGTTGTAATCATTTTTACATGAATATTTTTGGGTTGTGGAACAAATCTTCTGAGTTTCCATTAGTTCTTATGGGGGAAATTCACTTTGATATACAAGTGTTTGGATTACAAACATGTTTCTGGAACACATTATGCTCACAAGCCAAGGTTTCACTGTATATATATCCAAAGAAAATGAAATCACTATCTCAAGGAGGTACCTACACCTCCATGTTCATTGCAGCATTACTTACAATATACAAGACATGGAAACAACCTAAGTGTCCACTGAGACACGAACAAGTAAAGAAAATGTGATTATACACGTGTGTGTGTGTGTGTGTGTGTGTGTGTGTAAATCCTGACATTTGTGGCAAAATAGATGGACCTTGAGGTAATTATGCTAAGTGAAATGAGTCAGACATAGAAAGACAAATAAGGTATGATTTTATATTATTTATACAATATAAAAAGTCAAACTCATAGAATCAGAGAGTAGATGGAGAGTTGCTGGGGCAAGGGGGTGAAGAAAATGGGTGATCTGGTCAAAGGTACCAACTTACAGTTATGAGTAAGTTCTGGAGATATAATATACAGCATAGTGACTATAGTTAACAATACTGTATTGTACACTTGAAAGTTGCTAAGAGAGTAAATGTTAAGTTTTTACCATACACAGCAAAAGGTAACTATGAGGTAATGGATGTGTTAACTAATCTTACTGTGGTAACAATTTTGTAATACATACATATATCAAATTATCACACCTAAACATACACAAAGTTATATGTCACATATCTCAATAAAGCTGGTGAAAAATAAAGTCAATTGTACTCTAGTAAGAAAACTAAAGTTAACTGAGAATTTCTGAAGTATTCATTATTTTCATTCAAAATAATCCATACTGAAATCTGTAGTCAATGATATACTGAGCTGACTATCTAGCAGATTGTTTTGCTTATATTTTTACACATTTATAACCAGAATGCTTTGGTTATTAAATACTAATATAATGGTTGCAATGGTCAATCAACTATTTACAAGAAAATATGTAAGAGGAATAATCTGCCCCCACCAAAATGGGGAATGGACTTTTTTTTTTCTCTTCAAAAATGACGTACGAATGGCCAACAGCTTTATGAAAAGATCTCAACATGACTTATCCTCAGGGAAATGTAAAACAAAACCATAATGTGATATCACTTCACACATAGTAGGGTGGCTATTACCAAAAAGTCAAAAGATAACAAGTGTTGGAGAGGATGTGGAAAAAAAGGTAACCCTGCACACTGTTGGTGGGAATGTAAATTGGTGCAGCCATTATCAAGAACATTATAGAAGTCCCTAAAAAAATTAACAACAAAACTACCATATGACCTTGCAGTCCCACTTCTGAATATATATATATAAGGGAAATTAAATCTGTATCTCAAAAAGACCTGCACTCCCATGTTCATTGTGGCATTGTTCATGACAGCCAAGACATGGAAACAACATGAGTGTCCATTAACAGATACATTTATAAGGATGAGCTGGACAGATTGTTGTGATTGCTTCACAGTATACTTACCTCTAAACTCATGAAGTTGTATATATTAATTATGTACATCTTTTTTATGTTAAAAAATAACTTAAAACATAAATTGAAATCAAAATTACCAAAATAAGAAATCTATTTTTTAAATATATATATTTTTTTATTTCTAGGAGAGAGAGACAGCGTGAGCAGGGGAGGGTCAGAGAGAGAGGGAGATACAGACTCTGAAACAGGCTCCAGGCTCTGAGCTGGCAGTCAGCACAGAGCCCGATGCGGGGCTCGAACCCACGAACCGCGAGATCATGACCTAAGTAAAGGTCGCACGCTTAACCGACTAAGCCACCCAGGCACCCCCCAAAATAAAAAATCTTAAAGACTACATATTGTCTGATTCTTTTTATACGATATGTTCTGAATAGGCAAATCCAGAGAGACAAAAGGTAAATTAGTGGTTTCCAGAGAGTAGGAGATGGGGGTAATGAGGAGTGACTACTAGTATGGAATTTCTTTTTGGGGTGATGAAATGTTTAGGTATTAGTTGTAATAGTTGGACAACATTGTGAATATACTAAATGCACTGAATTTGTACACTTTAAAATCATTAATTTGTAGTGTGTGAATTATATCGCAACAAAAATCAGTCTGTGTAATTCATCATTATTATAGACTGAGTGTTTGTGCTCCCCCAAAATTAATTTGTTGAAAACTAACCCTCATTGTGATGGTATTAGGAAATGAGGCTTTCAGGAAGTGATTAGGTCATGAGGGCAAGCCCTCATGAATGAGATTAGTGCCCTTATAAAATAGACCCCAGAGAGCTCCCTTGCCCCTTCTGCCTTGTGAGAACACAGCAAAGAAACAGTCATCTATGAACTTTTAGGTGAGTCCTCATCAGACACAGAATCTACCAGCACCTTGATCTGGACTTCTCAGCCTCTAGAACTCTAAGATAAAAATTTCTGCTTTTAATAAGCCACCGACTCTTTAGTATTTTTGTCATAGCAGCTCAAACTGATGGCAACCATATTAGGAGAGAAAGAAATATTATCTCTCAGGATAAAAAAAGTCATTTAACAAAATTCAACACCTACTCCTGACAAAAACTCTCAGTGAACTAGGAATATAAAGGGGCTTCTTCAACTTTATAAAGAATATCTATAAAAAATGTACTGCTAACATCATATTTAATGATAAAAGATTTAATGCTATCCAGCCAATCAGAAAAGCTAAAGCACTCTCACTGCTTCCTTTCATCATTCAATGGGACATTCTTAACCAGTGTAATAAGACAAGAAAAATAAATATAAGTAACTGTAATTGGAAAAGGAAGAAGTAAAATGTCTTTATTTGCAAACACCATAATTGTGGATATAGAAAATCTTAGAGAATCTACAAAAAAAGTATTGGGACTAATAAGTGAATTTAGTAAGGACAGAAGGTTCAAGTTGAATACACAAAAATCAATGGTATTTTTATATAAACAACAGTTAATTGGAATCAAAGTGGAATTTAAATAAAACACAGGCTCATCTAGTAATATCTCCCTCCCTATCTTAAAGTGAAATGGCTTGAGACATTAATTACATCTGAAGAATCCCTTCAAATGTGAGGGCACCTCACCAATGTGAGGGCTTGATTGTATAACTTGGAAAAGCTGTACATACACTAGGGGTCAGGAATCTTGGGGCCCATCTTAGAATTCTATCTACCACAAGTATTGATACACTCAACAATGTGGGTAGATCCAAAAACATGCTTCATAGAAGAAGCTAAGGGAAAGAAGAATTCACATACTGAATAACTTCACTTATGTTAAATTCTAGGATCAAGAAGATGTGGTTTATCTATACAATGGAATACTATATGGCAATGAGAAAGAATGAAATCTGGCCATGTGTAGCAACATGGATGGACCTTGAGGGTGTTATGCTGAGCGAAATAAGTCAGGCAGAGAAGGTCAGATACCATATGTTTGCACGTATAGGAGGATTAGGAGGAACATAACAGAGGACCATGGGGGAGAAGAAGGGGAAAAATAGTGGGGGAGAGGGAGGAAGGCAAACCATGAGAGATTTTGAATGCTGAGAACAAACTGAGGGCTGATGAGGGCAGGGGTGAGGGGAAGGGGGGTGAAGAGGGCACTTGTGGGGATGAGCACTGGGTGTTATAGGGAAACCAACTTGAGGATAAACTATTCTTTGAAAAATTCTAGGAAAAACAAGACTAATCTATGGTGATAGAAAGTAGGTCAGTGGACATGCATTCCTGGGATTGGGAGGTATTACTAACTGCAAATGAGCACAAAGGCACTTTTGGAGTTATGGAAATTTACTATATACTGATTGCATTGTTGATTACACAAGCATATACATTCATCAAAACTCTGAACTTTTAATGAATGTATTTTGCGGCATATAAATTACTTGTCAATACAACTGATTTTGTAAAGTGAAGGCAAAAAGAAGGAAATCTTTCTGATGAACAAAAGCTGAATCAGTTTGATACCATAAGCCCTGAACTATAAGTATAATGACAGAAGAGAGAGGGCAAGATGGAAGAGAAGTAAGGAGCTCCGTACTTGCACTCGCGCCCATACATCACAAGGAAAAGATCTGAAGCCATTGGAAACCTTACAAAGCCTGAGAGACTGGGAGAAAAAGGACGCAGAATCCACTGAGAGAGCCTTCTGACGTGAGTGCGAACCGGGGAAGATAAAATCGGGCCGGGACCGGAGACTCCAGGAAGGGAGGCGATCCCCCTCTACCCTCTACGGGGAGTGAGAGGGGAAAAGGAGAGAGTCCGAAACAGAAAAACCTCCGCTCGGGGCACAGAAAGACCGTACTTGCCAAATACCTGCACGCCAGGTCCCCTCGCGCCAACTGGTCCCGGGGGTGCTGAGCGCACAGACTGCTGCTTTGTGCGGGCTCCTGGTGGGCTGGACTTCAGAGTAGCGGCGCGCCTGCCGCCATTATCCTCCCGGGCGGCTTGGGCCCCTGAAAGAGCCGCACGCAGACACTGGGCGTCCGCGCGCCTGGCTGGCTGGAACTCTGGAGGGAAGGCAAGGAGCTAAAAACTGGGAAATTTGCCTGCGAGTTCGTGTTTCGGGTGACGAGCCATAGAGGGACCTGGTTTTCCTCACTCCAGCAGGCTCGGGCTCAGCACACCCGGCAGGCAAGCCCCCGCGCATGCGCGCCAGCCCGACCCAGAGAAGGAAGCAGCGATTCTGACTCCGCCCCCAGAGCTCGGCAGGGGGCCTGGAATTGCCCCGAGGGGGTTGCCTGGGAAGCTGTGTCTAAGGCAACTTCAGCGGGGCGCGCGGACTGGGATTTGGAGATTGGAACTGCCCTGGGTTGAAGAGTGCAACCAACTTCGGCTGCGCCCCCGGTACGGGGAGTTTACACGCCCAAAAAAGCGAGG